CTTCGTTTCTTATTTTCTTTAAACTAACTAGCAACTAGTGCACACACAACAACTACATACCACCACTGCACTTTCCTACTTTACGTCAGTTGTATCAGATTACAGTCGTCTCTCTCTCTCTCTCTCTCTCTCTCTCTCTCTCTCTCTCACACACACACACACATGTGCCAGCATACACAGAGGCCTATCCTTTTAGGTGGGTAAGCTGGGATTTGAACCTTAGACCACAGTGGTGCAACCTTTACACCCTAGCCAACAAGACGAGCAGGAAAACCATTAGAATCCAACTGGAGAAGCTAATAATTAACATTATCCTTCTTTTGTCATGGAATTTCAGAACTTGCTTATTCCATGAAAGCAACAGAGAAGAGCGATGTGTACAGCTTCGGAGTTATCCTTCTCGAGCTTGTAACTGGTAAGAGGCCTTTAGAGCCCGAGTTTCAAGAAGGAAAAGACATTGTGGATTGGGTTTGTTCTCATCTGGCTACGCGAGAAACAGCATGTTCTATTTTGGACACAAGAGTCTCAGACTATTATGAAGAAGACATGCTCAAGGTGTTGAAGATGGCCACACTCTGCACAACCAAGCTCCCGACTCTGAGGCCATCAATGCGAGAAGTGGTGAAGATGCTCGTTGATGCCGAACCATGCGTTAGTGGCATCAAGGACAAATTATCAGAGAGATTTGACTGCATTTAGATTTAACTCTCTCATTTTTTATATCTTATTGAGTCTTTCTCAGTAGGGTTTAGGAACTTTGATTGAGTTGTATGTATCATACTAGGTTGAGTTTCCTTGTGTTCTACGTTGGAAGCTACTCTTAAAACTTCCCACTTCTTTAGAACAATATAGATTATATATCTCTTAACTTCTTTAGATCCTGGCTCATTAGGAATCAGAGGCCTCAACATTTTTATTGGCATATACATATCAGAGAACAATTGTGTGTTCTATTCATTCACAGGTATTGTCTTGTCTCAAGAGCCTTAAGGGCTTGGGCTTTGGGCCTATGCATGTATATATTTCCCAATACAAAGCTCCCATTGGAACCTCTTTTTTTGGGTGAGCTACATTAGGACTTTCTGTAGTTCCAGCATAGTTATTGTTGCTCTTTCTGATAGATCCTCAGTTTCATCTGTGTCATGAAAGTTGCTACAAGATGAGTTCTATGTTAGTGGATTCTATTGTGTATAGTAAATGTATTATATTGGGAATTTGTATTTAGTTATTCATTTTTTGCCTTCTTTTATTGATAAGGGCCTTAGCATACAAAAAGTGCCAGCATGAAGAAAAAACAAAAACCCATTGGTTTCCAGCTCCTGGTCCATGTCGGATGAAATTGGACCAGGTTAGGTTCAAGTTGTGAGAAACTGTATTTCTATACTCTCGGTCCCTGTTTTGTTTTTTCAAACATCCTCTATCAACCTCGGTCCTTTATATTGTGTATCGGGTTAATATAGAAAGTATATATTGCAATCAGTATTTATGGTAAGGGTTAATAGAGTATCTATACTTTATTACAAGTTTGGGTTGGTTTAGGTATCTATGATTTAGTTTCTATTATTGTTATTTGTAATTTGTCTATAAAAGACAAGTATGTACATTCATATGATTAATGGACACAAGGAGTCTCTTCAGAGAAACCTCAGACTCTTCACATGGTATCAGAGCTAGATTAATCTTAGTAGTGTCAATTCCTCGTCCCTGAAGCATTATTGCCAATTTTCAAGACGAGTCTATTGCTCACCCAGTCGGTACAACTTCTGTCAAGTCGTGTTTCGACTCTCTACTGAGTCGTGTTTCGACTCTTTGATCTGTCCTCTCTGTTGAGTCGTGATTCGACTCTCTCATTTGTCCTCTCTGCAGAGTAGTGTTTCGACCCTTTGATTTGTCTTTCCGTCGAGTCGTGTTTCGACACTCTGATCTGTTTCTATGCCGAGTCGTGTTTCAACTATCTGATCTGTTTGATCTTTTCCAAGAGTTCCTGAATTTGTTTTCGAGGCTTGTTGATTCGCTGCTACTTTCGGTGCTCATTGATCAAGCAATCTGAGTATGCACCTGAAGATCTAACTGCTCGTTTCTGTAATTTGTGCTCAAACTCCAGCTGCTCTCTCTCATAGTATCTTGAATTTGAGGGGGAGTGTGAAAGGAAAAGTATATATTGTGTATCGGGTTAATATGGAAAGTATATATTGCAATCACTATTTATGGTAAGGGTTGATAGAGTATTTGTACTTTATTATAAGTTTTTGTATGATTTAGGTATCTATGATCTAGTTTCTATTATTGCCATTTGTAATTTGTCTATAAAAGACAAGTATGTACATTCATATGATTAATGGACACAAGGAGTCTCTTCAGAGAAACCTCTGACTCTTCACACTGGTCAAGATCAACCTAACTCGACCTGATATATTACATATAATATAAATGTTTTTATATTACTTATATATTAAAATATGTAAAGTATAATTTATATTACATTTTATATATAGATTCAGATCCAACCTAACCCCATGGGTCGATCCCAGTCCAATAACTTGGGCTTGACCTTGAGCGGATCGATACCAGTTCAATGACTTGGGCTTGACCCAGAGAGTGTTGACCCAAGCCCGACCCAACCCGACCCGAGCCAACCAGTTCCCCAATCAAGCCACTGATGAGAGGTCACATTTTACTCCATAATCTTGAAGAATTGCACTTATGTGTCAAAACTCATGAGCACATGGGAAACCCTAAATCGGTGACTTGATTATCTCTTTATCCCTTCTATCAATGCCATAACATATCCAAGCACATTCATGCATCTCACCTGCCACTCTTGTATCTCACTCCATCTCTAACACATCCATGCATATTCAAGCAAATAATCCCCTCCATTTGCTTTGCATACTAGTCTCTCTTTTTATGTTGTTTTACTTTAATAGTTACCTCAAACTCTATAGCTCCAAGCTAGAATGTCCAGATAACTTGTTACATGACGCACTCTTTATAGGACTCCGAAATTCTTTTTTTTTTCTTCTTTATATCCATATATCTTGAGGATGGGATGATCAATTGGAAGGTTTTCCATCTTCGGAACACTCTTTTACTTCTGGATTTTTAAGGTGCAGCTTACTCCTATAGTGATGGTTGCATCCTTAAAATCGTCAATTAAATCTCTCTCTTTCTAGTTTTTCTTTTATCAAAATCTCTCTTTTTCACCATTTCGTTTCTTGTGGTATCTCTGTTGGATATGATGATATCCAAAATCAACTCCATAAAAAAATCTCATATTAAATGGGATTGATATTGATCAATTTTCTAAGTTAATTGAGATATTCATTGTAAGTATAGCTAGATTAAGGCTCTTAGTTATATCTTAAGTTTCAGATGCATGTGACATTTATGGGATTCTTATCTGGCCTTGGATCGATAACCTTACATATATAGAATGAGAGAAGATATAATTTGTCTGCCTATTTGGGTCATTTTGTTAGAAATGTGGACTTCTTTCTAGAGAAAGGTAAAGGCCCCCAGCCTAGCGAAAGAGGAGTCTGAAGGAGCTTCTAGAGCGAGAAGTGAGCATCTAGTAAGAGAAATGGCATTTGTGCCTTGCATGAAGGTAAAGGCATATTTTTTTAGAGAAATTGTTCCCATGTAGATTTTGGTGATATCCCCTTTACGAAGAGAGTCTGTTTCTTGTTGTTCTCGCATTACTATCTAGTGCATTCCGTGATAATTGTCAAAAACAAAGAGAAAAAAGAGCAAAGTAATGTCGATCAAGAAGTTATTTTAAGGGTTGCTCAACTAGGTATTGTCGATGGTTAGTAAGATATCTTTTGTATCCCAAAATCTGCGATATAATTTTCCTCATTATAGTGGATTTTAGTTTGTCATGTCTGTGGATGCAACCTTATGGGCAAACAAAGTAAATCTTTATTTTCTTGTAGTGTGTGTGATTTCATATTTTATTTGTTGTATTATGGTTTGTACTCGGCTATTTTGTTTCTAGTTGGTTAAGTACACAATCTTGGTGGGACCCAACTTTTGGGGTTCCTATTTCTGCAGCAAAGAGTCTTATTACATCCTAACAACCTCTAGCCACACATCCCTCTCTCCCCCATGCACGCACAAGTGTCTCTCCCTCCTTCCCCCACCAAAAACATCTCTCTTTCCTCTTCCTACCTCCCTAGTATATCTCTCTAGGTCTCCCACCAACATCATCTCTCTCTCTCTTTGGTTTCTCTCTCTCATATTTATCTCTCCCATCCACATCTCTCTTTGGTCTCTCTCTCACCTGGATCTCTCTATCTCTTTCGGATATCTCTCTTTCTCGCTCTCGAGCGTATCTCTATCTTGGAGGAGAGAGCTGGAGATAAGGGGTGGATCAGAGAAAGACATGACAAAGGTATAAATTTTCACGTCATAGAAAGCGAGAAAGAGGAGAGAGGAGAGAGGGGGAGAGGAGAAAGAGAGAGGGTGGGAGAGAGAGAGAGGGATAAAGAAGGATATAAAGATAGTGAGACAGAATGAGAAATGACAAGGGGAGCACAAATTTGGGATTGGGGTTGAGGTCGTGCTAGTAGTACCACTTGAGCCTCAGCAACCGATTTAAGTTTTCGTTCCCACTAGCACATTAAAAAATCATTAATTATTTCTAAAATGAGAGCAGAATTTTGATAGAGAGAGAGAGTACATGACCAAAGAGAGAGCCCATGTTAGAGATAGAAGAAAATGGGGTGCTGCCCCATTTTAGAGAGAGATGCAATAAGGGGGAGGTTCCCCCCTTGTATTCAGGCTTCAACAAAACCCCTGTGAACAGAGGTACTCAAGAGGTACTTGTCTCGGTACAAGTACGAGGCTGGGTAACTTCGTAGAGTCCGAGTGGATTCCATCGAGTCCTCAAATGCTGGTGAAATGCTATAGTTGATGTCGCTTTAAATTATTCAATCTTGACCTAACAGTTGAGATTGCATATAAATATTTAGTTTCATACTCTTTTAATGGTTTGTCTACAAAGCTACTATTTATCTTTAGTATATGGATGTCACAATCATTCACACTCATTAGATGTCAAATTGGATAGCTTGGGGTGAGTCATGAAGTTCAAGATTTTTTTTTGGAACTTTGCATCTATCTAATGACACTCTTACAATCATCCATTTTGAAATTTAAGGGACAAGAATGATTGTCACTTCTATGTACAAAAGATAAATAATCTCTTTATAGATAATCTCACTTTTTATATGGGCAAGCTTTCTATGCTTCCCCTACCACATAAAACTTATAGACTTCTCCTTATCCAACCGTCCATTATGAATGGAAGGCTAAAATTGCCCCAATCACAATGTCACGTATCTATACTATTTTATTTTTATTTTTTCTCTATAAATTATTTGAAAAAAGTTTATATAAGGATGCAACCTTATAATGTAGAACTACGGATGCCGCTCAAAAATCCATCAGAAAAGATAGTTTTAACGTCGAAAAACCATTTGATTGATCATCTCGACATCTAGATGTATGACTATGAAAAACAAAAAGATTTTAAATCTCAGAAATAGTGCATTTTACAACATATTATCTACACCATCCATTTTTAAGATTTTCATATGTTTATAGATCTACTTGATTTTAACCATTTTTGAAATTTAAAATTTTATAATTAGATATAAAAATAGATTTTAAATTAATCTTAAAAATATTTTACATCAAAATTATACACCACCGTCAAATTTAAAGACACACCTTACCTCAAGACCTATATATACATCCGTATGCCAACTGCACCCTTTCATAAATGTGTGTGAAAAAGACACAAAATGCACCCCGTCTCTCTTTCTCCCCACACATAACCGGCCGCTTGCCTAAAGCACAACATAGGCTGAGGGCACCGGCCACTTGCCTATAGCACAACATAGGCTGAGGGCACCGGCCACTTGCCTATAGCACAACATAGGCTGAGGGCACGATCCAAGGAGA